GTCTATTGAATCGCGCGATAAATGCGCGTCCTATCGAACTACACATTCCCGGATATCAATTTTGTGGTCCTGGAACTCGCTTGGTAAAACGCTTGGCCAGAGGTGACCAAGGCATTAATTCATTGGACGCGGCGTGTCGTGAGCACGATATAGCCTATTCGCGTAACAACAATCTCACCGATCGGCACGCGGCGGATGAGATTCTCGCTGTGAAAGCGCGGAAACGCATAACTTCGAAAGAATCAACTCTAGGCGAGAAAGTTGCTGCTGCAGTCGTTTGGGCTGCTATGAAAGCCAAAACGAAAATCGGCATGAGCATAGGCACGAAGAAAAAGAAGTCGTCCAAGAAAGAAATCCGAAAACGAGCACTTCCAATAGCAAAACGGGGTGGTATTTTACCAGTTCTACCATTACTGGGAGTTCTCGGTTCACTAGTCGGTGGAGCGGCGGGTGTCGCAAAAGCGGTGAATGATGGCAAAGCCGCGCAACGCCAGCTGGAAGAATTAAAACGTCATCATCGTGCAATGGAAGGTCGCGCTACGAAAGGTCGTGGAATCTATCTTGCTCCGTACAAGTGCGGGAAAGGCGCTGCAGAAAAAAAAAAACGTCAAAAAAACGCTAAAATTACCCACGGGTGCAATGACTAATGTACAGTTGGAAAGACTAGCGAGGCGTATGCGTATATCTTTCTTTCGAGGTGTTTTCATGCGTGACGCTTTACCAATAGATGGAGTACGTCAAAACGAGAGCGGTATTGTAAATTTAGACAACACAGAGGGACCAGGTACTCACTGGGTGGCGTATGCGAAAAGAGGAAATCGCGCAATATATTTTGACAGTTTTGGTAATCTTTGACCGCCCAAGGAATTGATTCGATACCTTGAGAGAGATGTAGTGAAAATTTTGTACAATCGCACATCATATCAACATTACAACCAGAGCATTTGCGGCCAATTGTGCTTGCAGTTTCTCCAAACGGTAGAGGATCAATTTAAATGATGGTGATGACATTCCACTAACAGCAGTCAGTATTCGTTCGGCAGTTTGCAAACATGTCGCTAACGCTTACGTTGACTGGCAACAGTAACACCCTTACGGTGAGCTACTTTCCCGCTATAGATTTGAGCGATGGTGATTACGAGCTCGGTTTAACGGATTTCGAAGCATACAATACGATACCAAACATAAATTCGTCGAATAATAAATTTTACTATGGTGCTAACGATGAAGAAATTACGATTCCTGAAGGATCGTACGAATTGCGCGCCATATACGAATATCTGAAACGTACATTTCACATTCTTCAAAAGCAGTGCGTTCCAAAAATAATCCATATAGAGATGACGAGAATGAATATCCTATAATAATTCGTGCCAATAATAATACGATGAGGAGTGAAATCAAATGTGCTTATAGAATAAATTTTAGCAAACCAAACAACATTGGCTCGCTTTTGGGATTCTCATCGAGTCGTATATTAGAACCGCACCGATGGTACGAATCGGACGCCCCGATTAAGATTATCAACGTGAATATTATTCGTATAGAATGCAGCGTTGTCAGTGGTGCATACAGTAACAGTATGCGTGTACATACGATACATGAATTCTCGCCTAAGGTGCCACCAGGATATAAGATATCGGAAACCGACACATGTCATTTATCTTCCAATCATCGCACGGAGCATTACAGATTTAACGGTGCGTGTAGTTGATCAAGAAGGACAATCGCTCGATTTTCGAGGAGAAGAGATTACCGTTAGATTGCACGTACGACGGCGACGATAATAAACGTAATCTATGAAATGCTTGTGGTGAATCAAGTGGGACAGGTGAAACAAGCTGGAAATATACTTTCTACGAGACGCGCAATTAACAGTACAAAATCCCTCGTTCGAAAGAAACTCAGCGCGTTGAACGTTGAATTTTTGAAATCTCTGGGATTCATCGTACGAAACGATTGAGAAAAATGATTGACATTTTGAACATTGGAAATGAACCGGTCTTTGACGAGCGCATCGTCAAGATTGAGACACATACGTACAATCCATACGCTAACACAACGTTTGGACATAGCGACGAGATACGAATACCCATACAGCAGCAGGATTTATACATATTGCCATGTGAGAGTTATCTCTATGTCGAGGGGAAGGTGACGAAACAAGTTGCAGTCGATGGTGCGACTGTAACGTTGGGATATAATGGCGTTGCATTTATGTTTGATGAGATTCGTTATGAACTGGATGGTGTGGAGATTGATCGTAACAGAAACGTGGGAATAACTTCAACGCTCAAAAACTATGTATCGATATCTTCAGACAAAAATGCCATCATGAAAAATGCCGCGTGGGATACGACTGACACTATTTCGCCGGACGGGTACTTCAACTTTTGTGTACCGCTCAACGTTTTGCTCAACGTTTTAGGATTCTGTGAAGACTACAAACGTATAGTGATTAACGCGCGTCACGAATTGATTCTATTACGATCGCGCAGCGACAACAACAGTCTACTAGGATCTTCAGCGCTGGATCCTAAGATTGAGCTATTCAAGATACAATGGCGAATGCCTCACGTAATCTTGAACGATATCAATAAACTTTCCATGCTGAAAACTTTGGAGGATGGACGATACCTGAGTATGAGTTTCCGCTCGTGAGATCTGTATGAATTTCCTCTACTGCAAAGCACGACCAAACACTTGTAGACCGTCAAAACTGCTACTAATTTGGAGAAACCTCGATACGTTATCTTTGCGCTGCAGACTGGCCGGAAGAATGTCATGTCGGAAAATATAACTCGTTTCGATGACTGCAAATTGATCAACGTAAAGCTCTATCTGAATTCAGAGTGTTATCAGTACGACGACATGAATTTGGACTTTACAAAAAATAAATACGCCGTATTTTACGATATGTATAGATGTTTTCGTAAATCGTATTATGGATGCGACAATGCTGAGGCATGGTTAACAACTACCGACTTTCTGCGGCTAGGTCCTTTTGTGGTTATCGATTGCTCGCGTCAAAATGAGTCCGTCAAGAGTGCCACTGTGGATGTGCGCATCGAATTTGAGTGTAAGGAGAATATACCGGCGAATACTACCGCATATTGTCTCATCCTGCATGATCGTGTAGTTGAATACAGCCCGCTAACCAACATGGTGCGCAAACTTAACTAACATTGATTGTGAATTGTTAGCATGCGCTGTGAAAAATATAATGTATGAAGCCGTGAACAAATAAATGATATTCTAAAACATAAAATTATGTATAAATTAATTCTATATGTCTCCCATTTTACTTCCCTTCCCCCTCCTCAGAACGATGAGGATAGTGCCCAGCGCAAGTCGGTATGGTAAAATACTCTTTCGACGAACGTTTCGTATTCCCTTCCAACCTACTCTATGATGGTTTAAGTGGTAGGACCATCGCACAGTAAACGAAGGGTCCGGGATTCGAGTCTAGCCTAGTTTCGACTTTGTTTTTCTTTTGACGCATGCGTGACGCCATCATACATACTGTAAGAACCTTCACTATGCGCCTACTAGCAATAGGTAACAATGGTCTAGGAGGTTCGAGAGAGAGACATCCGATAGACGTTCGAGAGAGACGTCCGAGAGACGTCCGATAGACGTTCGAGAGACGTCCGAGAGACGTTCGAGAGACGTCCGAGAGACGTTCGAGAGACGTCCGATAGACGTTCAAGAGACGTCCGATAGACGTTCGATAGTAATCGCGGGGCCCAGGTTCGAGTCTACCTACAGCCCGACGCGTTTTTCTCTCGTGACGTCACGGCCGCCATCTTGCTCATAGAATCAAAGATTCTGGGGTGGAGCAGGAGGGTACCAATAAAGAGGGAGTATCAATTAAGAGGGGGGATCAATAAACAGGGGAATCAATTAAGAGGGGGTATCAATTAAGAGGGGTATCAATTAAGAGGGGGATCAATTAAGAGGGGGGTCAATTAAGAGGGGGGTCAATTAAGAGGGAGGTCAATTAGGGGGGTATTAATTAGAGGGGGGTATTAATTAAAAAATAATTAATAATTAATTGCTTTTGCATAATTAATTAGCAATTTGAGTTAGAATCCCCCTAGTTTATCTACTAAGGGCTACAAGAATATGCAATAAAGAGTAGGAAGTTCCATTTAGAATTTTAAAGTTGACCTTTACGTGACCTTCAAACGACAATCCAAGGTCCAGCCAAGGTCACCGTCAGATGTCCTCCTATGAACCCTATAACTTTTGCTTGAAACATTTTTCGCGATCTGGCTTTCCTGACGAAATATTTCCGATTGTCGATTAAAATGGGCCACCCTTTATATCAAGGAAAATATTTAACTAACAATAATCTTTATTTAATATTTTAATATTTTAATAGTATCACCTTTTTATAGTACAACCTGAGGAATCAATTTATGGTAAACAACCCACATAATTTAATTTAAGAAATTAAAGTCAAACTTAACATGGCTTTTCAAGAAGATTTCAGGGTCAAATAAATTTCATTAGCTAACACATTTTTCTAAACCCAAAATATTTTTTTTTTAAATGTGAATTTTGCAAAATATTTGACTTCTGGAACTTTTAGCACATCATTTATATAGGTGAAATCTGTTTACTCTACGCAGACAAAATATGTTTAAATAGATGTACTATATAAGCAACTACGATTAAAAATAAGAGCTTCAGTAAATAATCTCGATGCGAACATTACCCAGTCAAAAACATAACGTTGATTCGATGTTGATTTGACGTTGAAATGGTCGATGAAACGTTGAATCAACGTTAATTCAACCGTCGTCGATACCGAATCAACCTTGTGGTTCTGACTGGGTAATAATATTCATCAGCAATTTTAGAATTACGAAATTGTTTATGTTTGAGTGATGATAACAAAGACAATATTAGTAAAAACATTAACCTATTAAAAAAATGTCGATTTTATTACTTTATAGTAAATTTTTTATAACTTCAATAAAATAATCATATCTACATTTTTAACCAATATTTATATTGATTTTAAGACTTCGATTCACTGTGCAATAATGTGTTCGACAAATAGTATTGTTAAATAGTTTAGTTGCGCGCAAGAAAATACTATTTCGCTAAGACTTTTGCATTATGCAATTTTCAGAGTCTACTGATATAGTTTTCGTCGTAGACGCGAGTACTCCATGTAGCGGGCGTCGACGGCACTTCGCTGTGGGATCGTGCAAAATGTACAGCATCAGCAACGGTGGGAAACATGGCAAAGAAAGGGCTATCGTTGTATTCGTTGGTTAGGTTGCACTTTCTCATAGTCTCGTATACGGGACCTGTAAATGACCGTAAAGTGTAGTCGGTATAAATTAAAAAAATAATTTAAAACCCTTTTATTATTTTTTTTATTAATTTTTATCTCTTTTATTAATTCTTTTTTATTAACTCTTTTATTAATTTATTTAAAACTCTCGGACATTGAAACAGACAATAATATAAATAATTTCAAATTCTCATGATATAGATATCGCGAAAGTAATGCGTTAATTTATGTCAAATATCAAATATTCCTACCGGAGCAACCTGCTATATAAACGGATACTTCTATGCTGCAATATTCCTCAATGATGTTTCTTATTGCATTCGCTCCTGCCAAGTCGACATGTGACAACGCGGTGAAGTCCAATATGAGAACACGCAGCTGTGAGATAAAAATATACTTTTAAAATAAGGTAACAGACAAATTCAAAAGGGATAACCAATACTGTTAAAGGAGTGCCAAAATAGATAACAAACTTCAAAAATGTTAATAAAGTAGAAACAGTTGTGCAAACAATCAAATATCAGATAATCATTAAGAAGAGGATCTCTCAAAAAAATATTTTCCTGTTTATTATATATATAAATTTTATACAAATAGTTTTAATATATTTAACAAAAACCTATAATCCTATCCTGCAGGGTGTCCCATTTTAAATGAACCAGGCAAAAATCTCGAAAAATATGAAAGATACTAAGAAACCTCTCAGACAAAAGTAATATAGTTTCAAATAAGACTATAAACAACTATATCATTTTGTTTATAGATGCGCCACTTTCGAGATATTTATTGATTACTTTTCTTACATGGAAACCCCAATTTTTTATTATATCATATTTTCTACCAATTAATTTGAATACCTTTTGTCTGAAACATTTTTTTTTGCCTAATATTTTTTGAGATATTTAAGGAAAACTTAGTAACATTTTCAATATTTAACTTACCATATCTATTATCATATCTAGCTAACTATTTGTCAAAAGAAAAAATAATATTAAACGTTTTTACTTAATTTAATCTCCAGAATATATTATTATAATAATGCCCTAACTTTTGTTAACTTATCAACCTTTGGAAATATCAAAATCATAAAATTAAGAAAAGTCAAGGCATTATTATAACAGTATATTCCTAACACCAAATAGAGTAAAAAAGTCTAGTACCACACTTTTTCTTCCGACAAATAGTTACCGAGGAATACAGGGTATTTGATAACTGATCATGCAGACGAAAGTTGGAGATAGATTGGGTGTAGCCGAGAAGAAAAGTCATGTACCATAATGTCAAATTGGCAATAGTTACCGAGTTATTAATTAAAACATGTAAGCCAACGAGCGCATAGAGAGCGGAGGGCGGCCGCAGTAAGCACGTAGACATTTGATACAGGCGGAGTCAGCGAGTTGCGGTGTAGGCAAGCACGCGCGGCGAGGGGCAACGTAAGCGACAAGAGGCGATCGCGCGCGACGAGGTTTTTCTTTATAGCTTTTTCCTTATAGTTCGCTCGCTCCTCGTCGTTCGCGCTCGCTCGCTCTTCGTCGCGCGCACTCGCCTCTTGTCGTTTACGTTACCCCTCGCCGCGCGCACTCGCCTACCGCTGACTCCGCCTGTATCAAATGTCTACGTGTTTACTGCGGTCGCCCTCCGCTCTCTACGCGCTTACATGTTTTAATTAATAACTCGATAACTATTGGCAATTTGACATTATGGTACATGACTTTTCTTCTCGGCTACACCCAATCTATCTCTAATTTTCGTCTGCATGATCAGCTATCAAACACCCTGTATATCGTAAGCTAAATATTGAAAAAAAAACAAGTTTTTTTAATGCCAACTTAAATATTTTTAAAAGTAGTAGGCAAATAAAAAAATATTTAAGACAAAAGTTATTAAAATTAATTGATAGGTATAAATGGTATAACAAAAAATTGGGATTCCATTTAAGAAAAGTAATGATCAGTGAATATCTCGAAAGTGACGCCATCTAACAAAATGATATAATTGTTTATAGTCCCACTTTAAACCATACAACATTTTCTGAAACGTTTCTTAATACTTTTTATATTCTTCGAGATTTTTTTCTGGCGCTTTTGAAATGGAATACCCTGTATACAAGGTGTCTCAGAACTTTGAGACACCCTGTACACGGCTCCGTAGGTTAGGTTACCATAGGGACATAGAGCTAAGTGAGAGGAACAAAAAAGTCTTGTACCATAACGTGAAAATCGTAGTAGTTTTTAATAATAACCGCGTAAAGTTTGGTGTTTTCCACGCCCATCGCGGCCTATAGACTGTCGCGATGGCATCTTGGCGCTTTGACACCGCGCGATGGTCAGCGCAAGCCGCGTTATCGCTCAGCCCCTACGCATACAGCTTGCCGCGGAGCGTCTATAGGCCGCGCTAGGCGTGGAAAACGCCTAACTTTGCGCTGTTATAATTAAAAAACTATTACGATTTTCATATTATGGCACAGGACTTTTTTCTTCCTGTTATTTAGCTCTATATCCCCTACGGAGCCCGTGTGCCAAAGTTCTGAAACACCTTGTATACAGGGTGGGGGGTTATAAGTTTACAACCCGAAATGTGAAGGTAGATTGGGTTAAGACAAACCGTTTTGCGAGATTCGCAATAATTATCGAGTTATTAATGACAGAAATCTTGAGGAGTGGGAGCGCGCCGACATAAATGATTGCAGAAGCGTTACAGCTGCTCAGGCTACGGCGCGGCCCACTCGACCCAGCAACTGTGAGCGGCGTGCGGCGTGCGGCGAGACGTAAGTCCGACGAGATAAAACAACGAATCTCGCAAAACGGTATGGGACTTTTATGTTTGTCTTAACCCAATCTACCTTCGCACTTCGGGTTGTAAACTTATAACCCCCCACCCTGTATATGTACGAGGGCGGTCCGATAAGTACTTAGCCTCACCGCCCGATGGCGCCACTATCGCAAGAGAAATTTACTATCGTGTAGTACATTCTCGTAGACGGTTACTGTCGAAATTTCAGCCGAATCGGACTCGTAGTTTTGTTTCGACCGCGTGTGGAAGCGGGCGTGTCCGCGGATTTTAGAAAAATGGAAAAAGAGCAATATCGGTCGGTGATTCGATTCTTGTTTTTGGAAGGGAAATCGCGCAGCGAAATCAAAAAGCGCTTGCATGCTGTGTACGGTGACTCTTCTCCTTCGATGGCGACCGTCAAAAATTGGTTTAACGCGTTTCAACGTGGTCGTACGTCGGTTTTTGATGAGCCACGCCCAGGTGCCCCGAAAACGGCTACTACGGAGGATAACATGACAAAAATCCACGATCTCGTATTGGCAGACCGCCGATTGAAGGTGCACGAGATAGCTAAGACAGTAGGCATCTCAAAAGACCGCGTGGGTCATATCCTGCATGAAATTTTGGGCATGAGAAAGCTGTCGGCGCGATGGGTGCCGCGTTTGCTCACTCCGGACAACAAGCGCAACCGTGAGACCACTTCAGAGCAGTGTTTGACGCTGTTTAAGCGCAATCCGAAGGAGTTTCTGCGTCGTTTCGTGACCGTCGACGAAACATGGATTCACTGGTACACACCAGAGACCAAGGAACAGTCGAAACAGTGGACTTCACCCGGCGAACGAGTTCCGAAGAAGGCGAAGACTGTCCTATCGGCCGGAAAGGTGATGACCACCGTTTTCTGGGATTCACAAGGTGTGATCTACATCGATTACCTGGAGAAGGGCAAAACGGTCACAGGGCTGTACTATGCCGAATTATTGGGCCAATTCGACGCCGAATTGCAGAAAAAACGGCCCCATTTGGCGAAGAAAAAAGTGCTCTTCCACCATGACAACGCACCGGCTCACACCTCCGTCCTCGCCACGGTCAAATTGGTCGAATTGGGCTACGAACTGCTGCCCCATCCACCGTATTCTCCAGATTTGGCCCCGTGCGACTTCTTTTTGTTTCCAAACTTGAAAAAGTCACTCGCCGGGCAGAAATTTGAGTCGAATGAGGAGGTCATCGCCGCCACGGAGGCCTACTTTGCAGACCTCGAGAAAACATATTTTTCAGACGGGTTAAAGAAGTTGGAGCATCGCTGGGTCAAGTGTATCGAGCTAAAAGGAGACTATGTTGAGAAATAAATCGCCACTTTTCCAAAATTTTCGTTTTTCTTTTGTAGGCTAAGTATTTATCGGACCACCCTCGTATACAGGGTGACTCGAAACAAGTTGTCCTTAATATGCTATATTCTTAAGCAAATTCTAAGATTATTTTTCCTCTTGTAAAATGTTATCCGATACTTAGTTACTGAATTATTAAGATCAATATTTCGTCTATTACGGGCTCGGTACAGAAGGCAGGCAACGGAACAATTGACCGTTGGGACGCGTGCCGCGTAGGCGCTGATGTTGCGCGTTTGGTGCGATATGCTATTCGATGCATGTGATAACATTCATCCATATTATTTTTAAAACTTAAAAATATTAACATTCGCGGATGTAATAGCAAATATAATACGAGTACGTATTATAAATTAGGAGGATATATTATTTGTTCCGCCCCTGCCTGCTTTCTGTACCCGGCCCATAATAGACGAAACATTTATCTTAATAACTCAGTAACTAAGCATCAGATAACATTTTGCAAGAAGAAAAATAGTCCTAGAATTTGTTCAAGAATATGGCATATTAAGGACAACTATTTCAAATCACCTGTATATATAATATACGTATTTAAACTTTGTTTATTCCTTATAGTCTAGTAACTACAATATATAAAAATATATAAAGATGTTGAAACCTCTTGATGTTTAAGAAAAAAATGTATATCTTCGAGAACAAATATTTCCTATAAAAATTGCAAAATTTTAAATGACATGTTACACAATAAAAATAATATAATCTTGAATAGCGTTTCCAAGATTACGTAAAGATTTAAATTTTTTTAATTTCCAGATAATCTTTATGTGACCTTGACGATGCTATTCAAAATCATATTAATTTTACTACATAATATATCATTTAAAATCTTATAACTTTTGTATCGAACATTTTTTCTCGATAATACATATTTTCTAAAATATTAAGAGGTTTTTACACTCTCTATATACATCCGTATAAAGCACTGTATTTACTAAGCCATAGCAAATATAAATAAAAGTTTATATACTACATTATATATTCTATTACATTACATATATTCTAGCACATTATGTATTCTATTTAAGCTCTTTTCTCCTAATCGGTTGACTTTATTTTTTGATTACCTGTAAAGATTTGGTACATATTTTGAGCTTCTACATTTAGTTATAAAGATATAGCAATGTTTTTTGAAATTTTTTGAGCAAGACAAACATACGTTTGCTATATATAAATTGCAAAACTTTTGTATAAGACAAATGCTTATAATTTATGCTGATAATTTAAGATGTCATTTTGAAATTTTTCATTGTTTTTCGCAATATTAAGCAATATTATAATTCATTTTTGCATGTAATTTCATTGCGTAAAAGCATATGTAATTTTGTTTAACTAATATGACGTAAACTTTGCATAAGGAAGAAGTTATTCTGTCAAAATTTTCGAAAATAGCATCTTTCTCAATAAATGTTTAATCGTACCAATTGAATTCTTTAATGTGGAAAATGTAAAATGTTTTTTTTAATGTTACTTTGAAATCTTACTAATATTACGTTATTAACAATGTTATTTTTACCTTTTTAATTTCTTCCGTTTCAACGGAACCAGTAGTCGCAGCTTTCAATCGCCTATATAGTTCTTTTTGGGGCATTAACTCTGCGATCTTGTATATTTCTTCACGAAAGTATTGCCTACACGCAAAATTTAAGCTGCCAGAGTAGCGGAAAATCTTAATGCCAGGAATTTCTACTGTCTGTAAATATTAGTAATATAATATTAATAATTATACACGCTCTGTCTCAAAAATAACCGGAGTAGCTTTATTTTAACGAAATTAGTGACGCCTTCTGTTGGTGGGAGATTGAGTTAGGAAGTGTCAACCTTCCTTAATAACCTGTAAAAATTTTATGACATTTCGTTCACTAAAAGTCAAGATACGATGAACTTAACTGACAGTAGTTTGATACCTCAGTCGAAAAATGAATAAAGAACAAAAAATCAAGGTAATTATATAGAATATCCCCCTCACCTCCGATATCGATGAAAAAATATTTAATCGACGCGTTTTTGCAACAGAAACAACTTTTCTATTTGAAAAAATCGTCGCTCTATCTTGTGGAGCGAGATATTAATTGTTAAAGTTGACGGCAATTTAGGTTAGAAAATCTGTCACATTGACAAAATGTTTCGACAGATACATGCCCCGCGATGTTATGCGCATGCTCTGTGGTCACGTGCATGTTCAGTGGCTACATGCGCATGCTTGAGTGCACGAAATTTGAAATGCAGCTATGTCTGCCACTTCTCTTATTTTCTTTTAAATCCTTCGCCTTACTAAAAAGATGAGTACAATATACTAAAAATGGATACAGGAAAAGTAATTATTTAGAATAGGGGAGCCAGTTCCAATCTTCAATTTTGACGTTATTGAGAACATCTTACTGATTAACCTATTATAAGTTTTTGTCATTGTTTATTAAAAAGTTATGGATAAATGACATTTTTTAATGCGAAACAAGATTCCGGATAGGTTTGCAACTTTCCACGCGCAACGAGGACGGGATAGGTGCAGGAGGGGGACCGCAGGCCTCCCTTGCACCCCCCCGTGTGTGTGAGTGTGTATGTGTGTGTGTGTGTACATATGTTTCAGACATTTTCATTTATTAAACATATAAATTTTTAGCTCATGTATTAGTGGTAATTTTTTTTTTAATAACCACTGATATATGAGCTACAAATTCATATGTTTAATAAATAAAAATGTGTCAAGCATATGTACACACACACACACGGGGAGATGCAAAGGGGGCCTTCGACCCTCCCTCCCACACCCACCCCGTCCTCGTTGCGCGTGGAAAGTTACAAACCCATCCAGAATCTTGCTTATCTGTCGCTTATCTGTCCGTGACAGATTTTCTAACCTAAATTGCCATCAACTTTAACAATTAATATCTCGCTCCACAAGGCAGAGCGACGATTTTTCAAATAGAAAAGTTATTTCTCTTGCAAAAACGCGTCGATTAAATATTTTTTCGTCGATATCGGAGGTGAGGGGAGTATTCTGTATAATTACCAAAATCAATATTAAGTTCTGTGTTAAAAACGGTAAAAGTGCCACGGAAATACTCCAAATGCTTAAAATCGTTTATGGAGATAATTGTTTATCACAAACACAAGTTTTTGAGTAGCATCGACGATTCAGAATGCAAAACAATACTCATTGCTTTTTACGATTCCAAGGGGATTATCCACAAAGAATTCGTTTCAAGTGGTACAAGGTTAATGTTCAGTATTATCTTGATGTATTGAAGCGTTCGGTAAGCCTTATTCGTCATGTTCGCCCTGAATATCGAGAATCAGGCAGTTGGCGATTGTTGCACGATAATGCACCTTCTCATCATTCGTCAATTGTCACAGATTTTTTGACCAAAAATCAATCATTTTTATTACTTCAACATCCCCCATATTCACCCGATTTGGCACCCTACGACTATTTTCTACTCCCTAAGCTGCATTTGGCGATAAAAGGAAACCGTTTTGCATCAATTGAGAATATTTAACGGTCAACGACGAGCAATCTCAACATCATTCCAATCAGCGACATAAAAAAGTCACTTGATGCACTTCTTGAATGTACAAATCGTATTTCTGCTAAGGGAGAATATTTCGAATAAATAAAATGATTTTTGTCAAGATTTCTTAACTATTTTTGTTTTTTTAAAGCCATTCCGATTATTTTTGGAACAGAAGATGTATGATTAATTAAAAATATTAATTTAAGAAATTTAACTTAAATAAATAATTTAATTATTAGGAGTACAAATAAGTTTCCGCCGTTTTCTATCAAAAATTAGGAATTTATTGTGAAAGAACGGTACATTACGTTTTATTCTAAGTATTGCCCATCACTAGCCACTACTTTTTCCCATCTTTTTGGCAGCATTCCGATACCACGTCGGAAGAACTCTTCATCCTTTGAGGCTATCCACGAATCGACCCAATTTTTAGTATCTTCATATGATGTAAAGTGCTGCTTAGACAGGCCATGTACCATCGACCGAAACAAGTGATAATCGGAAAAGGCAATATCTAGTGAATACGGCGGGTGGGGTAGGACTTCCCAATTAAGTATTTCCAAATAGGTTTTGACCGGTTTTGCAACATGTGGCCGAGCGTTGTCATGTAGCAGAATAATTTTGTCGTGTCTGGAGTAGTAATGGGCGCGTTTTTCCTTGAGTGCTCAGCTCAATCTCATTAATTGTGTTCGGTAGAGAGATTCAGTAATGGTTTCGCTCGGTTTGAGCAACTCATAATACACGACACTAAGTTGATCCCACCAAATACACAACATGAGTTTTTTTCCATGAATATTCGGTTTGGCTGTCGATGTTGAAGCATGGCCAGGTGGTCCCCATGATTTTTTCTTCTTTGGGTTATCGTAGTGGATCCATTTTTCATTACCAGTGACTATACGATGCAAAAAACCCTTTCTTTTATGCCTGACAACAGCATTTCACACGTGCAAAATCGACGTTCAACGTCTCTCGGCTTCAGTTCATATGGAACCCAATTTCCTTGTTTTTTAATCATTCCCAACGATTTTAAACGATGTGAAATTGCTTGTTGAATCACTTCTAATGTAAGTGCAAGTTCTTCTTGCGTTTGGCACGAATCTTCCTCCAATAATGCTTCCAATTCCGTGTCTTCGTACACTTTTGGCCTTCCACTACGTTCTTTGTCTTCCACGTCAAACTCACCGTTTTTAAACTTTTGAAACCACTCATGACAACTTCTCTCACTTAAAGCAGTCTCACCATATGCTTCTACAAGCAATCGATGCGCCTCAGCTGCAGATTTCTTCAAATTAAAGAAGTAAATCAAAAGTTCCCGCAAATGACGCTTATTCGGCACAAAACTTGACATTTTTGCACGAAAAAAATTATGTGATGCTGATACGGAGTCACTAATACTTCAAGGTTATGTTGTTACCAGATGTCCAAACTTACGATATTACGTTTTGCATCTGTTAATTTCAATATAACCTTTTGGTGAGGCCATCTTTTGTCAAACGGCGGAAACTTATTTATACTCCTAACAGTTTGGTAATTATATAAAATAAAAAAAAAATATATATATATATACCCTTGATTTTAAAATATAATAAATGAAATTCTAATCTGTTTCAAATTTGTTTCAAACTATATGGAAATCACATGTAGTTTCTAGTAACATAACATTTATGTTAGTCTTTTTATATATAATATTTCTTCTGTTTATGTGGATTATTCCTTATAAAAATGTTCTTTTTAATATTTTGTGTTATTAAAGTAATGAGTTCATTGTATCCTAAAATAACAGGTCCCAGGGAGAGACAGAAAGGGAATGAGAGAGAGAAGAGAGAAAGAGAGAATAGTTTGTAATTCATTATTTGTATAACTCAATGTTAATAAACAAACAAGTTTAATAAACAAAAATACCTAAAAACAAAAATGGCTAAAACCCAAAGACAGCTAAAATTTTTTACAAGTTAGTCAGAGCCATGTTCTTAACATATATCAAGCTCATTGAAATCAGTGAGGTCGCTGCTTTAATATTTATCAAATATTAATTAATATTTGTCAAATAATTTAATGACAAGTCACTTAGATTACTCTAGCAAGAGTCAAAATAAAGTCTCCAGCATACACAGCTTCAGCGAGATAGATATTGTCATACTTACGCAAGGCAATAACGAATTGCGCCATCCAAATATTGGGTTGGCAAATAAGTTTGTTCGGTTTTTTAGAGTAGAACAAAATATAATTTTTTGATACACAAGATAAATTTTAATCAATTATATATTGGTCATCTTTATCGATGACCTCTAGCCATCTTTCCACCAACTTCATTATGCCGCCTTCGTAAAACGTCTCAGGCTTATCGACGAAAAACCAATCCAAGTGGTTTTTAATGGCCTCTTCATCCTTAAAGGTTTTCCCGTTCATGGAGTTCTGCAGCGACCGGAATAAATGATAATCGAAAGGGCCAAGATCCGGTGAATACGGAGGATGAGGCAAAACATCCCAGTCAAGCTGAAGCAATTTGTTCCGAGTGTTCAATGACGTGTGAAGTCTGGCGTTGTCGTGGTGGAAGACGACACCCTTGCAATTTGCCAATTCTGGACGTTTTGTGCGGATTGCTTAGTTCAATTTCGTCAATTGCGAACAGTATACAGTTGAATCAATCGTTTTGCCTGACGGTAACAGTTCGTAATAGATGACACCCTTGAAATCCCACTATATGGAGAGCATTATTTTCTTCAGATACAATCCCGCCTTCGAGATTGTTTGCGGTGGCTCGCTGCTGTGTCCCCATGATCTTTTACGCGTTACATTATTATAGACGACCCATTTCTCGTCATCCGTCATCATTCGTTTCAAAAATGGGTCGTTTTCTTGGCGTTTCCATAGCGAATCGCAGATGACTATGTGTGTAGTCAAGTTAGCCTCAGTTAGTTGTTGCGGCACTCAAACATTAAGCCGAGAAACGTATCCCAGCAGGCGCAAATGCTTTTCTACGCTTGTATGGGATATATTCAATGTCGTAGCAATTTCTCGTACCGATTGGGATGGATTTACTTCGATTATACCCTTAATGTTACTTGAATTAATCTCAGTCGGGCGATCGGAGCGGGGCACATCATTGACGTCGAAATCTCCAGAACAGAAATTGGCATACCACTTTTGGTACACGCGTTCTGTTAAGGCATCATCT